GTCGTGTAGACGCGCAGTAGCTGGGTGCCTACGGGCGCGGCCTCGCTCACCTGAACTTTGTACGGCAATCGCTTGAACATGGGCGTATTGTCGTTAACGTCGGTTATGTAGACGCTGACCTTGACTCGGTCCCTAAGCCGCGTCAGACCATTGTCGATCACACTGGCCTCAAGGCTAATGAAATTCCCGCCGCTTTCGGCGACGAGCTGCTCCCTGTCGAAGGGTCGTAACGACCTGATAAAGCCATTGCGCGGATCGACCGCGAAGTCTTGCTGCGTTGTCGGTAAGGAGAAGGTGAGATCGGCGTTTCTGCCAACGTCGCGATCGCTCGCGAGCAACTTGCCGACGAAGCTGTCCGCCGGCTCGTTCTCCCGCAAGTGAAACGTGAAGCTCGAATTGCTGAATTCCGGGGCATTGTCGTTCTCGTCGATAATGTGCACGACCACGGAGACGGTCGAGCTACGTCTCGGGCAGCCCTGGTCGCTCGCCACGACTTCGAGGGCATAATAGTCCTGCTCCTCGCGGTCGAGAACATTTTTCACGTAGAGCTGGCCATCGGGAAAAATGCCAAAACGCCCCTCGGCATTGCCATCCACGACCTTATAAAAAATCCTCCCATTACGGCTGAGGTCCCTGTCCGTGGCGACGAGGGCGTAAAAGCGCTCGTTCACGGGCGTCGACTCCGCCAAGGACGTCTCGTAGCTGGTCAACTTGAATACGGGCGTGTGATCGTTCACGTCCTCGATTATTACGCGTATGAGCTGGGTGGCCGAGAGCCGTGACTCGGCTCCCGAATCCGTGGCCGTGACCTCGAGGTGCAGGACCGTGCCGGGCGTCGACTTTATCGGCTTGCTCAAATAAATGATCCCCGAGTTCTCGGCAATGCGAAATTGCTCGCCGGGATTTTGCGTGAGGGTGTAGGTTAGGCGCGCGTTCGCCCCGGCGTCCTTATCGCGTGCCCGAGCGAGGCAGGCCTCCTGCCCTACCGCAGCGTACTCTTTTAAGAGTACCTCCTCCTCGCGCTCCTCGGCCGGGAACCTCGGCGGATTATCATTAATATCGAGGATTGTGATATTGACGGTGGTGAGGCCGTAGGCGAGGTGGGCCCGCGCGGACACTTGGAGACTGTAATGGGCTGACTCCTCGCGATCGAGCCTACCAGCTGTGCTAATTAGGCCCGTGAATTCGTTAATTTTGAAATTGCCCACCGGATCGCCGTAGACGATAGCGTAAGTGACCTTGGCGCTCCCGTATGAGGAGATGATTTGAACGGAGCCGATGTCACGGCTGATCGACGAGGGGCCTTTATTGTCCAGGATATCCCCCGGATTCTCGACAATTTTATACTGATAGCCGTTGTAGGTTGAAAACTCGAGGTGCTCGAGGCTCTCCTCGCGCAGGATTTCGACGATCGAGTTTTTCACGGCCGATTTGTCGCCCGTGTCCTTGGCCGATATCGTCAATTCGAACAAGATCTTGTGGGCCTGCCTCATGGCGCCCTGGAGAAATATTTCCCCGGTACGCTCGTCGACGGCGAATAGGCCCTCGCCCCCCGACTCCAGGGCGTAGCGTATCTGCGCGTTTTCTTTCGCGTCGGCGTCGCTGGCAAATACTCTGCCAACGAGGGTACCTGGCGCTGCGTCCCGCGGCAACGGGAAAAAATAATTGATTGGATAAAATATGGGGGCATTGTCGTTCACGTCCTCGAGCGTCAATAGGACCGTCGCGGTCGAGCTCTGAGGTGGCGTGCCCTGATCCCTCGCCACTATCAGCACCCTATACTCCTCGAGGCTCTCCCTATCGAGCGTGACTTTCGTCATTAATTGGCCGGTTAAAGCGTCCAAGGAGAACTTCCTCGTGTAGTCCCTGATTACGTTGGGATGCAGACTATAGGCGACGCTTCCGTTCGTGCCCTGATCGTTGTCGACGGCCGATAGGGTCGCCACCAGGCTATTGGCCGGCGTATTCTCCGATAGCGTAACCTCGACGATGCTCTGCGAGAATTTCGGCGCCTCGTCGTTCTCGTCCAGTATCGTGACGCGCAGGTGCGTATAAACGTATTTCGGATTCGGTCCACCGTCCCTCGCCGACACCCTCAGCTCCACGCTCCCCTGTATCTCCCTATCCAGTATCTCGATGGTCGTCACTAGGCCCGTATTCGTGTCTATCGTAAACCAATTCTGATCGTTGCCGGACTCGAAGTCATAATAAATTCTTGCGTTCAAGCCGGTATCGGCGTCCGTGGCCGAAATGCTCGCCACGTAACTGCCGATCGGCGAGAGTTCCGACAAGACGGCTGAGTATTCGCTACGCTGGAACACGGGCTCGTGATCGTTGACGTCATTAACATGAATGACAAGATAAGCGACGGCTGAGCGCGGCGGGCTGCCCATGTCCGAGGCGACGATCGTCAAGTTGTACTTAGAAATTTCCTCCCTGTCGAGCCGACCGTTAACGCGAACGAGATGAAAGCTTTGCGTGTTGTGGCCCAGCTGAAAGTGGCCCAATTCGTTTCCAGCCTTAATCTCGACGCTCGTCTCGCCGTTAAGGCCCTCGTCGTTATCGATTATGCCGACGGCCGCCACTATCGAGTCTTTGGCGGCATTCTCGTCGACGGTCGCGAAACCGGTGGTGGGCGGGAAGTAGGTGAACTTGATTTCGGGATTGTGATCATTGGCGTCCAGCAAATTCACGGTGACGTAAGTTCTGCCGTCCTGCCTCGGTGAGCCGTGATCCCGTGCCAACACGGTTATAACGCAGCTCTTGGGGCAGCCGCCGCCAGGCCGCGTAGCCGTGCAACTTTGTTGCGGGCAATCCAGGACCTCGGCCGTCTCGATCTGGCCGCTCTCGGGATCGATGGTAAATTGCCGCTCGTTATCCGGTAAGTAATAAGTTAATTTTGCATTGTCATCCGTGTCCTTGTCGATCGCGTGAACCGTTAAAACCGGCGTCGCCACCGGCGAGCTCTCGTTAAGCATAACCACGTAATCGCTCTGTTGAAAAACAGGGGGATTGTCGTTGACGTCGAGTACCGTCACGTTAACGAGCATGCAGCCCAATTTCGGTGGGCTTCCCCTGTCCCGGGCGCACACATTTAGCGAGTAATATTCAACCTGCTCCCTGTCCAGCTTACCGGTCGTCTCCAAATGCAGGTAGGACGTTTCGCCGGTTGGATTTCCCGTTACGGATAATCGAAACTTGCCGTCCGTGTTACCGTTAACAATGAAGTAGTCATCGGCGACTCCGTTCTCCGGCGTATCTTTGTCGGTCGCCGCGTCGAGCAGAAGTTTCGTGCCCGCGGTCGCGGACTCGGAGAAGCTCACCGATATACTGGACTCCGGGAATTCCGGGGCATTGTCGTTAATGTCCAAGATGAGTATTCTTACTTCGATTGGATAGGTCGGCTGACTCGACAATACGACAAGGTCGAATCTGTCGCTCGTTAGGGTCTCTCTATCCAAGACCGTGGCTGTTTTTATGTCGCCGGTAATCGGGTCCAGGACGAACTCCTTGGGTGGCTCGTTGAAACGATAGCTGAAGTCTTGGATGACGGGTATCGTGCCGACCAGCGCACCTTTCGGCTCGCCCTCCTTTATTTCCAATTGGGCTCTTTTATCCACCGCTCGGCTCTGCATTGTCAAGCCAACTTGCGGCGTTTCCAGCTGCGGCAGCATGAGCGATCGTCTATGCACGAGACGCGCAGCCCTTTGAGATAAATTGGACGAGCCGTGGGGATCTTCATCGAGCATAGCGCTCGCCCAGGTACCATATTGGCCAGCCAAAGCCACGAGCAAGACCAAGTACAACAATCTCGGCAGCATCTCTCTATACATGCTTCTCTCGCTCGCTCGCTCGCTCCCTCTTTCTCTCCCACTCGCGCCGTGCACACCGCACTCCTTCGTCGCAGATTATTGTCTGCTACCTGTCACGTTGCTTCCTCATCTTCGTGGACATTGCTTTAATTTTACTGCGACGAGTAATTTAAATGTCTCATGTCAGAGGCATTATCAGTATTGAATTATTATTCTTATCAATGCGTGAGAATTGAATGTGGCCGGTGTTTAATTGTCGGCTGTAGCATTGTGATTGTCATGCGCGCAAGGTCCAAAGAACGAAAGGGAAAGCGGCTTGTTTACGTGATTTAAATCAATCGTAAATAAGATGGAAATCTTCGCCAAAAGGAGGGCACTGACCGGCACAACCGCGCCGCGCACGAGACGTATTCCCGATAACTTGGTGAATCGCAATGTGAGAAGAAAAATCTCTCAATCGCGTCTCGAGAGATTCTTCCGCAATTTTATTTTAAACATTAATGTCTTTGCCGAGATTGAGTTGACGCATCACTTTGCACACATTTCTTTACGTGTCTACGGCCTCTCGACCTTTTCATTTAGATACACCGATTGGTAAATATACATACATACACACATACATAAATACATACATATACATATACATATGTAATATCGTACATTCGTGTTTTTGTGTGTGTGTGTGTGTGTGTGTGTGAGAGAGAGAGAGAGAGAGCGGGAGAGCAGCGAGTTTATCGTGGAGAGAGAGAGAGAGAGAGAGAGAGAGAGAGAGAGACAGACAGACAGACAGACAGACAGACAGAGAAACAGAGCTCGAGGATTTGGCTCTTCTTTAGGTCAATGATCAACATCAACTGATTTGCCGCTGTCCGCAAAATTGAAATGCACGGGGGCAACGATTTCAACGATTTGCAAAATTGGCAATTCACGAGCGTGCGTGCCCCTTTAACATTTCCTTTCACGTTACTCTATCCTTTTTCCGTTATGCTTTTTGATCTCTGTTTTTGTTTTTGTTCTCGTTTTCTTTCTTTCTTTTTTCTTTTTTTTTTAATACTTTTTTCCTCCTTTTTCCTTTTTGATTCTTTGTTTTGTTTTGTTTTACTCTGTTTTTCCTTACGTCAAACAAGTCTCTCTCGAGGAGCGAAGGCAAATGCGACGATTTACTCAATCTCTTATTTTCTCTCTTTTTATCACAAACGAGCCTGATCTTGGCTATTTGCACTATTGCTTCGTAGTTTTCACATCGACGTACGTCGCATTAGCCAGAAGCTCTTCCCAGTCGCGAAATATACGAACATTATAAACAACCAAACATCAACAACGACGACGACGACGACGACGACGATGACGACGACAGTCACCACTACCACCTCGCACCGAGGCCCCCGTGTACTCGCTCACACGTATATATCGCGCGCGGCGGATAAATTCCTCCTCGACTCACGAGAGATTCAACACACACGCACGAGACCCCGAAACGTTCGAATTCACACGAATCGCAATACGGGTGCTCGGCTCCTGGTGCCGTCGTCACCTTTTGCCCAAACAGTCGAAAAGCCTAAAGATACTCGACTGTAACGAAAATATAACGAAAATATGGGCCCTTCAATTCGCACGCGCAATGTCTTTACCGGGACAGCAGTGTGGAGGGCCGCGCGCGCGCTCCTTGCGTGAGAGAGAGACTAGCCTTGCTTCGAGGACTGGCCCTACTCGACTGAGAAAAGCATGCACACCGGCCTGGAACCTGGGGCCCGCGCCAGGGAGAGAGAGCATTCTTGAGGCTGGCTGACGCCATCCCTCTCCGATCTATCGGGCCCAACGGGCATTGCGTCCCCTCTCGTTCCCTCACTCCCGAGTCCCGGCCGTAGTCGCGCCGCCAACGTAGCAGCCGCTGCTGCCGCCGCCACCGCCGCCGCCACCACCGCCACCTCCTTCGCCCTACCTCCCTCGCTACACGCTCTCTGTCTCGCTCACCTGCAAATCGGTCCGGAGCGCGCGAGCAACGGCCCTCTTTATCACTCCACCGGTTCTGCCAAGCCCCCCCCCCCCCCCAACCCCCCCACCCCCCCCCCCCCCCCCCCCCCCGGCCCCCTCTCGTCCCCCCCCCACCCACCACACGCCGTTCTTCGCTCATCGCGCACTCTCTCTCTCTCTCCCTCTCGTTCTCTCGATCAGCACTCGGGCTTTTTTGTCTCGCTCCGCTCAGCGGCAATAACGAGAGGAATAAAGACAGAAACCCTCGCGACCCTCCCCGCCGTCGTGATCTCTTTCCACTTGCTCCCCTCTCGCTTACTGTTTCTCGTTCTCTCTCTCTCTCTCTCTCTCTGTCTCTCTCACTCTCGGGACTGTTTCTCTTTCATTCTCGCTGCTTCGCGCTCTTTGCGCAAGCCCCACGTTCATTCCTCTGCCGTCGTTCTGCAGAGATATTCTACCTTTTGCCCTCAAGGAAGCGAGCAATGCAACAGCTCAGGTATGCAAGATGGCCGTCGCCGATCGACTCTCGCTCGCTTTCCCTCACTCTTCCTCTCACTCTCTCATTCACTTCTCTCTCTCTCTGTTCCGCTCACTCCGTATCTACTGGCAGGCGAATGTGCGATGGAGATGAGAGAGAGAGAGAACGAAGGATATCTATGTTTCTGCGCGAATACGTGTGCGTATGCGCGCGCGCATTCAGTATTTGGCACACACGTGTCTATTTGTGACGCACATTCGAGGCGCCCGAGAGTACAGACGAACTGAAATAACAAATAAGGAGAATGAGACTGAGCGGAAGAGGAAGCGAGACGAAGAGCGTGGGAGACGCGCGCCGAATGGT